CTCTGCTTTAGGGTCTTTCACAAGGCTGCAATTGATGTTAGCCAGGGCTGGGGTCTCATCTGAAGGCTCCACTGGGGAAGGATCCACTTCCAAGTTCACTCAACCTGGTAGTTGGCAGGATTCACCTCTTTTGGGGATGTTAGACTAAGGGTATCATTTCCTAACTGGTTCTTCCTTGCCTGGACATCTCAAACATGGCACTGGGCTTCATCAAAGCTAACAAGGGAGAAAGTCTGCTATTAAGACAGAAGTCAAAATCTCTTGTAATCATAGAAACCACATCCCCTCAACTTCGAGTTATTCTATTGTTTAAAAGCAAGTTACTCAAACTTAGGAGATTATATAAAGCTATGAATTCCAGGAGGCAGAGGTCATTTAGGGTCATCTTAGAAGCTACCTACCACAGGTACTTGGTCCAGAATAAATAATAATACACACACTAGCTTTTGTTATTTATGGCATTTATAGTCCAATGAGAAGTTGTTGAGCTGTAACATGGGAGAGGAATTAGAAGACACTGCAGGAGCACAGAACCTGGGCTGAAGTTTCAAGCAAAGACTTTTAGAGTAAGTGATATTTAAACTAAAATTCAAAGGATGAGTTAGGAATTCACTAGGCAAAAAAGAGGGAAAAGATCACTCAGGCAGTTGGAATAGCAAGTATAAGACCTTAAGGCAGGAGAGTGAGTGTAGTCTATTTGAAGCACTTAGAGAAGACTGGTTTTGCATGCAAAGATTTCAGAGGTAGACAGGGACCAGGTGGCTGAAATGCACTGGAAGCCAGAGAAGGATCTTGGACTTTATCCTGAGGAAATGGAAAGCTTTTGAATTTTCTGCAGAGGAGTTTCAGGATCAGATCTGAAAAGATCACTTTGGCTACACTGTGTGGAGGATGGATTGGAAGGGAGCAAGAGTGGACAGAGGAACACGATTTAGAATGATTTTGCAATGGTCCAGGTGAGAGGTGACGAGGGCTTGGACCGGAATGGTAGCAGTGGGAGAGAAATTACAGACATGTTATAACAGAGCATGGTGATTAGTCAGGCATGGAGATGAGAGGGCAGGGTGGCGAGGAAGAGGTAAATATGACCCCAGACTTACCCTTGAAGGAACTGGGCGAGGGGTGGCTTGTTTACTACCAAAGGGAATATTGTAAGAGGAACATATTTTGGGGGAATGGATGACTTTAGTCTTGGAAATAATAAGTGAAAGGGGCCTGTGAGATATCCAAAGATGTATGAGCTCATCTGCCAGATATCTTGAGGGTGGAAGAGCGTCTAGGACAGATCTGAAGCACTTTAATCTTCAAGAGTTCGGGAGAAGATCTTCCTCTAGGAAAGGAGAATAAGAAGAAACAACCAGAGCAACTGGAGAAAACCCAAAACCAACGGGAAACGGGCATTTTTAGTAGGAATGATGGGTCAACTGTGGGGAATACCTCTGAATGGTCAAGAACTGGCAGATGTCCAAAAAAACTAGTGACTCAGGGTTATTTATGACCTTGGCAAAAGCACCTCAGTAGAAGGGCAGACAGGGAAGCCTGGTTGGACTGAGTTGAGGGGAAAATGGAAAGCAATAAGACAGAGGCAGCAGGTGTAAAGATATACAATACATCCAAGAAGTTTGCCTGCAAAGTAGAGGGAAATATGGCATTAACTGGAAGGGAATATGGACTAAACTGAAAGTTTTGTTTGTTGTATTTGTTTTTTAAATAGGAAAGTTCGTGTACTCAAATGTTGGGGGCTGGCAGATATAGAGTGGCTGGTACAGGAAAGTGGGGAGAACTGATAGAGCAGGGTTCCTGAACAGGTGGTTTTGTCTGGAATCCAAAGCACTAGCGGAGGGGTTTAGAAGGAGGGCTGTTCCATTTTAACAAGGCAAAGAAGGAAAGGTTGGAGACATCTTCCCGGTAGCTTTGTGGATTTGGTCTTGGAACATTGAGTGCATTCTGATGGAATGGCTTCTATCACCTTTTTAACAAATCCTTTCCCTTCAAATGTTGAGTAGCCAAGCATTCTGAATCCTTGCTACTCAAACAGTGGTCCTTGGACCAGCAGCATCAGCACTGCCTGTGAGAAAGGCAGACTCTTGGACCCCACCACAGACCTACCTTACCAGAATCAATATTTAACAAGGTCCCCAGGTAATTCCTGTGTACACTGAAGTTTGAGAAGCAGTATTTACATAACTTCCTATTGGTGGTAGGAATTGAGAACCAGCTAAATTATCAGAGCTAGAATCTACAGCAGATAGCTATCCCTTGGGGACCATGAGTTATTGTGCAACTATTCTTTCAGCTATAAAAGCTTTTTAAAAACACACTTGTTTTTGCTAGAGAATCTCTGTGAATTGCCATGAGAAAATAAGTAAAGAGCAAAATATCACAATACTTTTCATCTTTGTATTTTACTGTATTGTCAGTATTTTTTTTTCATTCAACAAATATTTATTGAGTACCTACTATATGCTAGGCATTGTCTTAGTTCTGGGGTTATAGTAATAAACAAGAAAAATTCTCTGCCCTCAGGACCTCATTTTCCTCCTTACTCAGCACAGTTTTATGGTTTGCCATTATATTCATTCACTCACTCATTTACTTATTCAGTTAATAGACAATTATTCATCATCTACTATGTACCAGGCACTGTTGTAGGCATTTGGGATCCATTAGTGTCCAAAACAAGTACAGATCCCTGTCCTCATGGTGCTTACATTTGAGTTGGGTCTGTGGCATAGGGTAGGGAGAGGTTGGTGTAGGAGAGATACGGACCAACAGTGGAAACAAATAAATTACCCACCCTACAAAACCCTTTCTCCAGTTAAATCCGACTCTCTGGCTTCTCTGCAGCTGAACGTGGCATCAGAAAAACACACAAGCATACTGACAGATCTCAGATCGTCCACCAGTCATGGCTGTTGACCTCGAGTGGCGTCCTGCCATGCTATCCTGCCTGGCAATCCTAGCCCACATTCTCTCTCACTCCTCCAGACAATCTGATACCTTCTCCTCTGTCCTCAAACCGCCAACACCACACACTCTACCCCAGTCTTTCTGATAACTTACCTAATATTTTCAATCACTTTCTAAAATTCTAAATTCTGCTAAGGTTATATTCCCCAAGAGCCAGGGCATTCTTTCTAAAATGCCAATCTCATCATGGTACTCCTTTTTTAAAAACAAACTTCAATGAGTAGGCTCCCATTGCTTTAAGGATGAAGATCAAATTTCTTAATGTACACTACAATCTACTGTCCAGCCTCCTTTTCCACTCATGTTCGATGCCCCCTATTTTTCCAGCATTTCAACCATAGCTGGAGTCAAATGCTTACGTACAGTAGCTACTCTGTACATTTTTTTTAATTGAAGTGTCTCTTAGATTTTCCATTTTTGCCATTTAATCTTCCATTTGTGTTCATACGTCTCCCTCAAATGATATTCTATTGAAAGGAGTATCTCAGTGTTGTTCCGTAGAACTGAAATTAATAGTCTTGAACCCTTGAAGACGATGGTATTGGTTCCAACAGCTACTTCTTGAAGGACCTTTCCATAATCATACAATCATTACCATAAATATGATGCAAGACTGATTTTTATCATAGTAAGAATAGAGTCAAATGCTCTATTCAACGAGGTGGAAACAAGAGGCATCATTTGACAGAGGTCCTCTATTAGCTTTATGTAAACCATAGAATAAAGAATTTCTTTGATTTACTTCTGACATTGAGTTCTGGGCTGGAGATCTATGGATGAAAACAAAGAATTTTTTTAAAAAATCAAAATAGTTTCCCCTGCTAAAAAGCTGACCATAATTCAAGCAGAAGTGGTAAGTAAGATGCTACCCAATGAGTTGAGAGGTGTCAGGAGAACCAGAGGCCAATACATATAGAACCATTGAGTCTTAGAGTCGGAAAGACATCAGAGATGGTCCAGGGCAAGTGCCCAGCCACAGCGAGAGTCACGTCAACATCACATCCGTCCTGCAGCTTCTTTTACATCCATCCTTCTGATCATAGGGCACTGGCTCCTTTTCATCATTGGACCCTATTTTCATCATCAGAACCCAGTTGTTACCAGAGTTTTCCTTCCTTAGTTTTAACTTATTTTCCTGGAATTTCTATCCATTGGGCCTAATTTTTGACATCTTAGGCTACAAAAATTTTAACTGGGTCCCTTGCTGCACAACAGCCCCCAAAGCACTTGCAACCAGGGGCCTCACCCGTCCTGAGTCCTCTCTGGAAGGTACTTTTCTTCAGGCAATCCCAATATGCACAGCTTCTGACGTTCCCTTCACTGCAGCCGCCTCCTGCAGGATGCAGGCTTATTTCTCAGTGTTGCAAGGCGGCAACACGATGCTCAACACATCCTCTGACTAATGAAGAATAATTAGAACACTTATTTCCCATGAACCATTTTTCTATTATTGCATTCTAAAATCATGTTAACCTTTTTAGCAGCCATTTCACACCCTTGGCGTCTATTAAATGCTTGCAGTAGTTATAATCCTCTGAATTTGTTTTTCACATGAAGTGTTACCAAAGCAGACATTTCCTAGCCTGTGCGTGTGCTGGAGTGTGTGTGATTCTCAGACCTGCTGTGGATCACTGGTGGTGAACTCACTCTATGAAGCTCTGCGACGACAACTCTAATAACGCTGGTGCCACATGTGTGCTACCTTGTCCTCCTAAACATGTGCTCCTCTTCTGAAGAACAGTCTATTTATAAACTCGATCTTCTCAAAAGACCTGAGGTGACCAGGCTATTTACCTTTCTAAGAGCTAATTTTTATCCACAAACTCCCCTTCTTCTTACCAAGTGCATACACTTGAATCCCTGCTTCCAACAATTAAATACCCAGCTAATTAATTTTCTTTCCTCACCCCCAGGTTGACTGAGCTCTTGAGTTTTCTTTTTAAACAAATGGGCAGGTCAAGAAACCCAACCCCTCTCCACCAACCAGGGCCCCGCCCTCTGCCCTGGAGTGGCCTGGAGTTGAAGGCCAAAGAGGGAGAGAAGGGCTCACACTGCTGCTCTGGGCAGGCAAGAGAGCGCAGGCCTGGCCACCTTATCCAGTGTGACGGCAGAGGGTCACTCTAAAAACTGCTGCTGCTGGGACTTGTCAGGTGGCTTCTGGTGGCTCCCCACTGGCTTTTCCTTCTCCCTCTCTCTCGCCACAGATTGCTTCTCGAGAGGAGTCTGCTGCTGAAACTTCATCGTCACCAGTCGGGGACACCACTTCACACAGGAGGGTAAGGAGCGGAGGCCACTCTCCCAGTCCTTTCTGCTAGATTCTGGGGTGTGTGGGTGGGAGAAGTGGGGGTGTCTGAGTGTGAACGGTTGTGGAGCTGTTTCACTGACGGCAGTCTACAGTTGGGCCACACTGCTCGCATCCCTGATCTGAAATTGGAAGCCAGAAAATATTTTCTTGAAATCTAAGGAATGTGATAGAATAGGAGAATGTCATAGTCATAGAAATGCAGGAGAGGGATGCCTTCAAAAAAGTAAAATTACTTGTAACTTCTAATAATAATTTTAAGTCTCAAAGGCCCAATGTATGTTTTCTTCCTCTATTTTCTAGCAAAGGGAGGGAAAAATAAAATTCTTGGCTTTTGCTCACAAAGTTTCGAATTCCATCTTCATTTTTATCAGGAACCATGTAAACATTCGGTACCTGAGAAGTTCGGATAAAATATAATCAGTTGTAACTAAAATGGTAGCACAAAAATCAGACAACTCTTTGAATTCCCAGAAATATAAATAGAAATTCCCCCTGCGAAAAGAACAAATTTTTAATTTAAGTATAAAACAAGTTTTTGTTCGAAATGTGCACAGACGGCTACACAGACCTATGTTTTATATCAGAAATCATCTTGGAAATGAGACAGAAAATGGAACCCCCCTCTGTTGGACTTAACTTAAAATGGCAAGCAGGCGGAGCGGAGGGTTTCTATTCCCGGAGTCATGCTGACGAGCCGGGACAGATGCAGTGATTGGAATGTGGCAGGACAGGGGGATGGCGCAGCTGACTCGCCCCTTTGGCAAGAAGACCTTCTGGGATCCCAGCTCATTCTGGCATGAGAGTGACAGTGACACTTTAGCACACAGGGCTGTTCAGCTTGCCCTGTGTGGAGTCTGTCCCAGGAGGCAAGGGTGGAGGGCAGCAGGAAAGAGAATATGAAGTGACAATTCTTTTCTAGAATCAGTTCTAGGGGCTTTTCACCTGAGATCTGTTTCAGGCCAGGAGGAACTTGATTTAAGTGCGATGCTGTCACATGGACGCACCCACTCATAGAAGAGGATAGAATTATGTTACCATTTCTTGGCAGCATCATTCTCAGGCCAATGGTTCTGGTTTTATTTTGGGTTATGGACCTTTTTGAGAACCTCCTGAAAGCTCTAGGCCCACTCTACAGAAAAATACACATAAACACATATGCACAACATGTTTCATAATATTCTAGAAAATTTCATGGATTCACTTGAAACCCAACCCAGAGCAGAGCCGCCAGATAAAATATAGGACACCCGGCTACATCTGATTTTCAGATAAAACACAAACTAGTTTTCAGAATAAGTATATCCCAAATATTGCATGGGATATACTTATTCTAAAATATGATTCGTGGTTTATCTGAAATTCAAATTTAACTGGATATATTTTATTTCCTAAATCTGATAACCCAGACCATGACTCCCGGGTGAAGAATCCCCTGTGTCGTTGGTTTATCTATATCTGATAATGAGTTGATTCTAGAGCTCTAAAAGGCCATACTGACTGAGGGGAGGACCAGACTTTGACGATTCTGACAGCAAAAGCCAACTGTTTACTCTTAACATTCTGTAAAATTTTTAGAACTGAAAGGTACACATCTTCTCATTTGACAGATGATTAAACTGAAATCTTAAAAGGTTGGATGTTGACACAGGTCTGTCAGATAGTTAGAGTAAAAGGAACACCAAAACTAATTTTCAGTTCCATGACAACTAAGAGACTATTAGTCTGAAAAACTAGATTTCCAACCCCCCTCCTGCCATATCCCACCCCTAACACAGACACACACAAAAGACCAGGAAAGAGAAAGAGTTATTTTTCTAAAATTTTCAACAAAACCAAAACCAAAAATTTTAGCACTAGGTCCTTGCATGCTGTATCCAGTCTGGGAGACTAGAATTGTACTTAACTTTATGTACGGTTTCTGTATACTTTAGAGATAAAAGCCAGGCACAGGCCTCTGGCTAAGTTGAACCATATGAAATTGATATTTGTTTTTAAACAAAAATTGATAATTTCATATTCAATCTAACATGTAAAAGGAAGGGCTTGATTCTCTGATCAACAAATTCATGCAAGACCTCCTTGAACCTATTTCTATTTTTTTCTTACCAAACTTATTGGAGCTTTATATCCTTACAACCCCTAATAAGATAAAGAAATCCACAGACTCTCATTGTCCCTAAATTTATTTCTCATTCTTATTTCAGAGTTTGTATCTGTAAAGAACCATTTCATGTTCTCCATATCCAAAGTTTGATTTTTTAAACCTCAGCTCTGCCTCACTCAGTCTCTACCTTCTCCTGCTAGAAAGAGCTAGCTTTTTGACCTGCTGCAGATTTTAACCTCCCCTGGATGGGAAGGAGGCAGACTGGGGTTAAGGACTCAATCTGGGTTTGAATCTTTGCTCCCCTACATATTGCACACTGTGTGACCTTGGATAAGTTTTTTAAACTCTCTCTGGACCTTAATTTCTTCATTTGTAAAATGAACATAATATAATCTACCTTTTAGGATTTCAGTGATGCTTAAATTAAAAAAAAAATAAAATCATGCTAAGTACTTGCCCTGGGCCTCAGCACACAATAGATCCTCAATTAATAAATGCTAGCTATGTAATTATTATTTTAGGTAGCAATGGAGGTAATGATTTATATTTAATACATAATATAGATTCATACTTGATGATTTATAGGTAGTAATTATTAATGTACTTAAATTTGGCAAATACAAAAGATGATGAAAAATGTGATGGCTCACATAACTGCCCAGCTGGTTATCAGGTGTCGAATACATGACACTACTGCCATAGAAATGACACAAGAGCCGAGATGTGCAGTGGGCAGTGGGAGGGGAGTGTGGAATTGCATCTCTGTTACCCTTCTGCCCAATTTCTAATGGACAGCTCTTGCAGGGGACCCAAGAGGCTGCTCTGGGTGACGGCAGATAGAGTAGAGAGGGAAGGAGGCTGTGGTGTCCGTGACCAGAGAAGGAGAATTCTCTGAGTTCCCTCCACAGAATGAAGGGATCGCTCTGGTAGCATAGGGAGCCTTCCACAGCCCTCTGCACCTTGTGCAAAGTCTCTTCTTTCACCCAAAAAGGGAAGGGACAGGAAGGGACTGGCAGTGCCTCCAAATAGCTGCTCATCCCATTACACAACCTCAGCTGCTGTGGCTGGACCTGCTCTTTCCAGTGTGTCCTACTATGGTAGGTGCCATGTGAAAAGTGCCATCCACTATCAATCCCAGGGGGCCTGCAAAGCTCTTCCTCTCTTTGATCCCAAAGAGACAACTCACTAGAGCCCCCGCTCCCCCCGGGTAAGGAGGGAGAACCAAGCCTGTTGTTCTTTAAGAAAAATGAAGTAACAGTCTTGAACCTCTTCCAGCCAAGGGCAGCTCCGCAAGGCTGCGCTCCTCACCTCCATGCAGACCAGAACCCAATCCAAGCCCTCCCTCGGGGATGGTAAGCAAGCACTGCCCTGGCTACCAAGCTAGGGAGGCCCTGAGCAGCCGGCCACAAGGCACCCACTCAGTTAAAAAACAAAGAAAGAAAGAAAGAAAGAAAAAAGCTTTAAAAAACAACACAAAAAGTAAACCCTCATCCAACTCTGAGTTAATATATAATTGAATCAGTAAGAATGGTATGCTCTCAAAATTTATTACTCAACATCTTGGTTATACTGTAGATTACATATGAACGTATACATGCAACTCATTTTATAACCTCTTCCTCTTCCTCACAGCCAGATTTTCATTGTGACTGTGACCGTCACTTACAGTATGACCCAGAGGCGCATAGTGAACATGTGTATAATTGCAGAAAAAACAGTGAGAGTTCCTGTACAAATTGCTTTTGACTACATGTTCACACAGGACCTAGTGAATGAGCAGGACATTTTTGCAAATATTCAGTTCTTTTCTAATCACCCTCTATTAGCCCATACAATCAGCCTTGAAGCCCAGCACCATGACGAATGAGTAAAAGGAAGTGAATTAAATCATTCCACTTTTCTTTCACCCATCTCCTTCTTTAAAGGAACTTCTTTCCTTTAAAGCTGCCCTTGTTCTTCATTTAAATGTGACTGTGGAAAAATGCTGGCTGGTCAAGCAGCATGGTGAGAGTGTGTGTGTGTGAGTGTGTGTGTACCCAGTGCGACACGCCTTGTGTCTGTACTCCCCAGAAAGGCCCCAGTGTGAGGAGCCTGGAGAGCTTGTCAAAGGCTTCCCCACCTGCCCGGTGAGAAGAGAGCCTCTGGGGTTTTGATCCCCACAGTGAGGAAGCTCGTCTTCTCTGCAGTAGGGCCTGGAGCACAGGACGGAGCTGCCCCTACCCTTCTTACTGGCCCGCAGTTCTCCTTAAACTGAGAAAAGCAGTGGCTGGAGCCCCAAGCAGGGCTGGTAGGAGATGGAGGATCAGGGCCAGTGGAAGAGCATTTGTCAGGATATAGGAGCCAGGGAACATCTCTGCAGCCTAGAGGACAACATCAGAGTTTTGCCCAGCTTCAGAGGAGTGACCTGCATCCGGAGGCTACTCAAAGGGGTCTGCAGTGTCCTTATGGGAGGAACACGGCACAGATTGAGAACATCTGGGCAGGTGTGTGGACAGCCTCACCTCTGAGGTACAGACCTAGGGATAGGATGTAGTGGCAGCTCTAGTAAAGAAAGACTGAATTTATGAACACATCTGGGAAAATACAGCCACCAGGAAGTTGCCTGTAGGCTCTGATTGCAAGTTTCTTAAACAGTTCCCTACCTGTTTCTCTCCATTTCTCCTAGAGAGAGCTAAAGAAGCCAGTTGCCTCTACAAAGTGATTTTGAGGGCTGTAAAAGCCCTCTCTTATTTCAAATATACATATATTAAAAATACTAATCAATAATATTCTTGAAACCAATCAATATTATTTTAATATCAAAATCAAATATTTTATATTAAAATTAATATAATTTTAATATTTAAAAAATATTATTTAAAGAGTAA